CTTTCCCGCGGGTGCCGATGCTTGGGGTCGTGCATTTCGCGAAACTCGACGCTTTGGTTCCTTCCCGTGCGCCCAGCGTTCTTCTCCAGCTGCTGACTGGACAGTTGTACATCGCTGAGCGCGTCATCAGGACTGGGATTGGCGGTGGTCGCATTGTGCTTGGTGCTGTTGTAGCCCACGGGTCGGTGCTCTTCTATGGTATGCGCGGGATCGAATTCAATGTGCCCAAGGCCCAAGCTGTACATCAAATGCTCCAGACCCTATGAGTAAACAAGCCAATTAGAATGCATGCAAAAGTTGCTTTAAAATGTAAGAAAAATGTTTTCGAAACTATATTGGCTATTTGACTAACTGACCGACTGACTGATTGACTGACTGACTGAATGATTGACGATCTGCTCAGCTAGAACGCTGAAGTTCTTACTGTATTCACGCATAGATTTTGTTGGGGTAAGTTCCACCCGTAACTGTGGAATATTGGTGACAAATGGTTGTATGTCATTTTATTTACCAGCCGATCTTGATGAATATTTATTCTAGTTGTATTTTCTGTTATTGTCATTTTATTATTTTTATATTAGAGTTGAACTATTTTGGGTTCTTTAATGTTTTAAACTCCATTAATGCATACGCATGGTTAAGGATGCTTTCCCCATATTTAACACGGTTTCGACTTTTAAGTAATTTGACAAACAAGTTAATTTGCACTCGAGCACATTTGGCACATTTAAGCTTTATGCTAATTTGTCAATAGCCCCGATTCTATTCAGGTAAAATATTTACTCAGTACGGCGCTTGCGCCTGGCTCACGTGTTAAACGTAGAGGCGCGGGAATCTCACAAATAATTACTTGATTTACTTGTCACCGAGCAAAACAATTATATTTACATGCCTGTGCGTTTCCACGTACATATTAATGATGCAAATTGAATGGGATCTGGGAGCGCATCTAATTGTCTTGACAGCGGCTGTCTATTGGCATGGGCGTGTGCTCTGTACGTTAACAGATGACAGGCTGGTTAACTGCTTACACGCTTATCAGTTTAGAATGCAGAGTAATTGCAGAATCTGGGCGACAATGATTACCAAATAAAATGTTGGGGCGGCGATCCGTAGAGGGACGTTGTTTTGTATGTGAAGTCAGTCTTTGCAAATAAAACAAACACGCGCTCATATTCAAGCAGAAATAAAACAAAATAAGTGCGCTAACCGGCAGTGCCCGACTACGAGATACCCTATAACAGTCTATAGTACCTCACGTTGGAACTTCTACACCTGTATGCAGGGTGAGGTATCTGTGTCTCTAGCTCTTCGACTTTAGCCTAATCAATAAATCGATTTATATTCTATTCTATTCGATTTCTAAGTCTCTGAGATCAATTCTTCATTAAGACGGACATGGCTAGCTCGACATGGTGCTGACCAAGAGTAGATATACTTATTAGGATGGGGTAAGCCTGTTACTCACACTCTAAGCCAGGGTATAATAAAACCAATAGCTTGTGCCAACTGCACGGAAATTAATGGGCCAGTTAACCCGCCGCGAATTTACTTTCATTCAACAAATTATATGCCAAGAGCTCGTCATGTGCTGTGGAATTCAGCTACTTATTATCACCGGGACACGCGCTAATCCGCAAATCGAGATTGGAGCTTGTGCCCGCTTAGTTAGCATGCCGAATACGTAACCAGGCATTCAGGTGTATGGAGGTATTGCGTAGTGTCGCCGCCGCCAACGTCTACGCATGAGTAATGCCAATTGGAGCTGGCTGCATAGTTTATGGCGGGTGTTAGCATTGCCATAAAGCATATATGAACACATATATTCACAGTGGATATATAAACAGTACATAGATATAATATGGTCAACGGCAGTTGCCACACTTTTATTATACGTATGTTTATCAAAAAGTATTTAGATAAATTTAATGATATGGAATATTCCATCATTTCATTAATTATTATATTCTAATTCGACAGAGCTTGTCATTTACGTACTGAAACAGATTTAATCATTTAAATTAGGTTGAAGTACATTCTACTTATGCAGGGATCAAGGTCAGAGTTACAAAGTTTGGTATGCTTAATTCCATGTGGACACATTGTAGACACAAGTTTTCTTTCAAACTTGGATATTTCTTCTTAGATGTCAATGCATTAATACTCTGCTCGCCGTTTTTATTTTTTTTATTGTATCTGTTAGTTTCTTCTGCTTTGACGAGGATGCGAAATATTAGTTTTGCTTCTAAAATAAACGCTTATTTGAGTACTTGATTCGTCAACGTCATATATTTCCATTTCCACTTTAACTCAAATTCTTGATGCTAAGCTTGCCCGTGTTCCTGCGTATTCGATCTTCTCATCAGAGTCTCAAACATCCTAAAAACTTCTTTCTTTTCCTGTTGTACATCTCTCTTATTGGAGGTTCTTCATTCGCTTGGCTCGAAAGATAGCTCGTATAGCTTATTATTATTTCAAGACCTTTTATATCCCTATATGTATTCATAAATATGAGTTACTGTTCTTCCATTGAAAAAGTCTCATGCTCATATCCTCAGTAATTGCTTTAATACTCGCACACAACACGAACTGAGTAAATTGTATATTTTGTGCATGGTCCGTCTCTCTGTTAGTTACTTGAAACTTGGAATGAATACTCGTGTATAACTAGCGGGCGTGGGAAATCAAGAAAACCTATATCTTTTACTGTCTTAAACTAGGTAATCAATTTTGTATACATATTATACCTGTGCTCACTGGGGGCATGTCGGGTAATTCGATATATCTTAAGAGAATTGTCGGAAAGCTTGTTTTAAGCTATTATCGAACTATAAACTAGTTGTTTGCATTATTGATTCAATACCAATGAATAGGATAGCAGGCTTCGGTTATTTCATTTTATAAAAGATCATTTAACTTGGTTTCTTTAGCCTCCGTGTAAGCCGAAATTGGGGGACATGGATAAAGCGTCTCTTTGCACAATTTTTAACGTAGTATGTTGAATTGGTTATGGCCTTGCTGTGCAGGTCAATGTTAATTATTATACCCCGAATCCATTAAAAATAGTTAAAAACGGGTATAATGTTTTTGTGCTAACTTATGTAACAGGCAGAAGGAATCAAGTACATGTGTTTGTCCGTCTCTCTGTCTGTATTTAAAATCACGCCAATCTCTAAACCTATTAGAGCTAGAGTCCGACTAGGGCCTAGAGTTTTTTGAGCATATCTCCTATAATACACACAGATCCAGAATATTCCACTATTTAAATCCTCTGCCGTTCACCCCAAATTGGTACAAGAAAGCATTTTTATATTGTTGTTTTTTAAAATAGGTGAATAGTATTGTTTAGTCGGATTTGCTCTGATGAAAGCTGCTCTCATAATAATAATCTCACCTATTTTGTGTGGCAATCTTTTCATCAAATCAGACAGAGCACACAGCGTTGGCGCTGTAGATCTGGTCCACCAAATTCAGATCAGATATCTTCAGTCTCCAACAGTCTCTGATTTACAAATGTGTGCACATATATATGAGTCTGTATCAACACTTGTACATATGTTGATGTATCGCAACGTGTAGGCTACCCGAGACATAAAAGTACGTCAAGATTTTGATTAAATTTATGACAATGTTAAAGCTAAGATCCCATCAGCTGCGTCTGACTAAATAATGGTTCGTCGTACGCCGCAGACAATAAAAAGTTTTGCGTATCTCAGAACGAGTATAAAGATAACTAATACTACGATTACTAAAGCCCTAGAAAAGTATCTACTTATGCCCCTTAGCCGTTCATATAGCACACTTTGCCAATCAATGCTGATCTCAGCTCCCTGGCAAATGTTTGAGAAAGCGTTTTACAGCCTATTCTCAATGGGGCGAAACATAAAAGTGGCCGAACGACGACTTTTGGCCAATGCCAAAATCGCTAATCAACAAAATTGCAACACATGTTGATAAATTAAAAAAAAAAAACAAACAACAGAAACAAAAACAAAATAGAAAAAAAAAAGGTACTAATTTTATTTTGCCTCGGCAAAAAGTTGCTAACGGAGTGAAGCGGAGCGTGTTTTGACGCTTACTCAAATGTCTGTGTTTTAGATGAAGTACCAGGTTTGTTTGGCTTTACCTCAAAGCTAATGGTGTTGCCGCTGCCGTACTTCTGGAATATCTGCGTCACATAACGATTATATTCCGTGGATGCGTAAGCCGTGCTCCACCACACTGAGCCGATTAGCAGCAGGTAGGTTACGATCTGTTCCAGCGCCATTACCAAAGTTTATCCAAATCGAGCTCTATAAACTACACTTTCTCCACTGTTTATTTCGTTTGTTTTTTTTTTTGGCAATTAGTTTTGTTTTGCTCTTAATTTTGGTAATTATTGGTTATTTTTTGTTATTCTTTGGCAATTTGTGCTGAACAATTACACCTTTCTGGTCATTTCACTGCTAATTTCAATTTAAATGCCGACTCGGGCGCCGCAACTGTTACTGATCCCGTTCGGCGGTCTATTGAACGACCGTTTCGCCCACGCTCCGCTTATGTACTGATCCCAGCGAGTCGCTCGCGATCTGCTGCTCGCTCCTCCACGCACTCGTCGCATTTTTTAACTGTTGTCAAACGATGGAAAAGCTTTCGAGAGCTTTCGTGGCGCGTTTGCTTCTCGTTGGCCGTCTTCTAATGGGCTTTAATGTAGATAACAGCTTTAAACTTTAAGGGCTTGAACTTGGGTTCATAAGGCTTAGTTATTCAAGTTTGTGTAGAGTATTATAAGAGTTTGAGCTCCGATATTCAAGTTTGTATAGGGTATTAAAGGGTTTTGAGCTTGAATATTCAAGATATATTGACCAAACTCAGCAAATACTATATATATCTGTGAAGCCCTACTGAACGAGTATTAAATCTTCTTCGTGTGTTTTTTTTAGCATACTTTATTTAATTCTATAAAAAATAATTCGATTTACGCAAGTACAAAATTTTATCAATAATATACTTATTTGTACTTATTTTATGTAAAATAATATCTGAAAATTGTAATGCATTTTTGTATTGGATTTGTGTTTGTCTATTGGATATTGTGCTTAGATGCTGAGGAACTGATATATAAATATACATAATATTACATATAATATAGATATACTAATGCTATTGATTCAGCAGCCTGCTTTATTCAAAGACTTTCAGAATTTTGTAAATATATACACTAACAAAATTGGTGTTTGGAAAAGCCCGCTGTGCGCTATAAAAGTAAGGGCAGAAATAATCTTACCCAAATGCTTATCATGCGAACTACTGATAATTGATTCCTACAAGAAGGCACTGCTTGCCATGAGTTATTCAAACCTAGTCGAACTTATCCTGATTTGGCATACAGATAAAGAATTTGGAGCACCACATGTTTATAGCCTGTGAGGTGTCAGCCAGCCATTGAACCGGATTGTGTATTGTCAGATAGTAGATCGGAATGCCGGACAGTATGATAACAGTGCCAACACCCACCTCGGTGGGTGACTGTGAGCACGATGCGATCACCAAAAACAGACAAACAATCAGATAGATGATCGGAAGTGAGAGATTGACGCGTATGGGTCGCTCCGTCTTGGGCTGCTTGTAGCGTAGCCATAGCAGACCTGACACAGAGACGAGAGTGAAGAGCGCTTCCACGTAGCTGACATAGTTGATGAGCACGTATGTGTCCTTAATGAACAGCAGCATCAGGGTAATAATACACTGTAAAACAGAAGGTGTTTAGTGTTTAGTACTAGACAAATAGATCAAAGCCATTTACCAGAAATATTAATGATGGCACCGGCGTCAGGCAATTGATGTTTATCAGCGAAATTGCTGCTGGCAGGTGACCGTTGCGTGCTCCGACGAAGAACAGGCGAGAGGATGCGAAGATGGCGCCGTTCAGTGAGCCAAATGTCGAACATGCCACCGCAAAGGGCATGATCCACGACAAGAAGCCGAGCATCTTGTCGCCGAAGGTAACGGCCACCGCATCCGATGAAAGAATCTCATCAGTGGAGAGCACCGAAAAGTATGCAACATTTGTAACCATATAAATGACCGTGACCACCGGCATGGATATGCAAATGGCTCGCGGCAAATTACGGTACGGATCTTTCAGCTCCTCGGTCACGAAATTCAAATAATTCCAGCCGGAGTATGAGAAAAGGCCGCTGTAGAAAGCCAATGCTATAAATCCCGGCTCCTTGAGCCCGCCACTAAACGGCTGCTCCCAATGCTCCGTGTTGCCGTCCGCCAAGTACCACACGCCGGCACCCACAATAACCATCAAGGCGACCACCTTGGTGCCCGTGAATATGTCCGTCACACGAGTAACCCATTTGACGTTGTAGCAGTTGATGACGGTCAGGACACCTGCGATAAAGTTAACAGGAATTAAATGAAAATTTTCTCTTTCCGCTATTTCTCGCACACTTACATATCATGGCAGCGGCCAGGAGCTGCACTGCACCAATGGGTGCCTCGCACGAGGGCCAAAACGGCTTCAGCAGATACTGTGCAAATGTGAGTGCCGTGATGGCGTTACCCGTAGGCACCAGGATGAGCAGTGCGACCCAAAGATAAAGAAAGGCGGGCAACGGTCCAAATGCGGTACCAATATAGGCGTAATCTCCACCAGATTTGGGTATCATGGTTCCTGAAAAGAATTTCATGGCAAATATTACGAAATGTTCGAGGAAAAAGAATAAGTAGTAAGAAGATTTAAAAGGGCTTCTTAGATATGTTAGCTGAGTGGTAAAGTTTTCTGTTTTTGGTCAATGTATTGAAAAGTATAAAAGGTTAAAACTCGTTTATCAGCCGATATTTCACAACGGAAATATCAATTTCATTTCCTGATCATGAACCTTATGGGACTTCACAGAACAAAATAATGAAATGTTACATTTAAATTGAGTCTACAGGGAAGTTTCTATTTCTGCCCTCGGCTATTGATCAAGCAAAATTGAAGGCTCTAAGATGTTTGTTTAGTTAAGTATTTTCCCCTATATCTTTTATATACCATTTACGGTCATTGCACTGTCTATTGGAACTGACACTTATAGATAATAGTCGACTTAGTCCATCGTCTGAGCGTGTTGGTTAAATAAAAAGACAGTTATCTTCGATGTGATTAAGTTAATTGAATTGCCGGTTATCGAGCAATATATAAAGAAAGCGAAAGTGCTTTAAACTAGACATATATGCATTTGAAACCCTCTATACCGGTTGTATACGAACGTAGAAGTTTATTACACAATTTGCACGCATTTCTGCTGGCTATCAAATATTCAAATAACCGTCTGGTACATCAAGTTTTCAAAATCAAACTGGTTTATTATTCAAAATGTGCGAAATAAAGCTGTGCAGCGAAATGATTGAGAAAACAAGAAAGACGCTTGTGCTCTTGTTAAAGGAATTATTTCCAAGGCAAATACTAGGGTGACTTTTTTAGTGATTTCAATTACGAGCGAATTACTTTTCTCAAAAATTAATCCCAGCCATTTCCTCGATCTGTGTTAAGAACTATTGTAATATATATCCAATATAAATTGTTAATCGGAAATGTGGTTTATAGTCCAATTAAAATATAGTTTTGCTCGTATTGAACTATATTTAGGGTCTTGGAACGGCCTTAATCGTAGTCTGTTTTAGCTGATTTGGCAAGTTATGCAAAAATAAACGAGGTCGCGTACTACATTATGCTGATTACAGGTGTTACACAGTTATTAAATGTAGTACACCTAGTCAGCGCAAATGTAAGAGAATCGCTAGCATCAGCATGCTTACATTCAGGGCGAAAAGTGCGCAACAAATATTTGTTGTTTCAGTTTACGGTTCGAACTGATTGTCGACATCATCAACCAAGGTTTTAGTTTAGTTTAAAGCATAGTTTTATTTTTAGCAGATATAAGAATTGAAATTGAGGTGGGAGCATTTTAATTTGTGCTTTGTGGGATTAGGGCTTAAAGTTCAGTTTATATTATGAAACAAAATTGATTTGTTAGCTAGATACTCACCTAATTCAGCGTAGCACAGAGCGCCAACCATGCTGAGAACTCCGCATAGCACCCAGACAATTAACGACTGTCCAATCGAGCCGGAGAACATGAGCACACCTTTGGGACTGACGAAAATGCCGGCGCCGACAATGACGCCAACAATGATAGCGACACCGTCTAGCAGTCCAATTTGTTTCTTCAGTTTCACGCCCGACTCCTGACTGGATGTGTCTGTGGAGGAGTCGCTGCTCGCACGTGCTTTTTTATCGGCCGCCGACTGCGCTGGCACCTCGAATACCTGGCGCGGTATCAGCGTATCGCTGGCTTGAATTCGTGTCATTTTTACTCTTTGCGCTTCGTAATCAAGAGTCAATTGACAATATGAGATATTTGGAGAGTTGCTCGTTTGTGTTGATATTTTTAAATTGGTTATAAATTGGTCCTTTGGTTGAGTTCTTTAATTGTTAAATATGTTTATTTTTCTGACGGTTCATGTATCATGTTTCCTTTTATTCGTATTTTTTTTTCTCCTATATTTATCAGTCTGCGCGCGGCGCGCTCACTGCCAGCGTGGATCTCGTATAAGAAGTTCAATTTTGTGTTTTACTTTGCGGCCACATGCTTTTATTTTATTATTTGCATGTGCTTATTGTACGTTCGTTTGAGTGTGTGCATGTTCGCATGTACTTTACATATGTATGCATGTGTGTACGCGTTTACACTTATGGCTTACTCATTTGCTGCACACTAATTATTCATAGGGCACACGTGTTCCGTCAGTCGCGCCTAAAATGCTGTGAGGTGAAGAGTTCGCTGTGCTTGGAGTAGCATCTGTTCAGTGACAACTACTGTGTTTCTTTTCAAAAGTGTTCCCGTTTTGTTTGCTTTTCCTGTTTGCCACTTAAAGAACACTCTACTCGCGCACCGGGCTGCCCGATCGACTACACCTTACACGCTCCGAGTCCAAACTAAGTTTGAAATATTAATGTACCCTCCGCTTTATGCCAGACGCGAAATCGACGACAGCTGTGCTTAGAGTTTCCCTCTCTCTCTTTCTTGCTAGCGCTCTCTTAGTGCACTACGCATTTGCTCTTTATTTGTGCTTCTATGGGCTTGCCATACAATCTTGAACAGACTTGCGTTGATTTACCTGGCGCCCTAGATTAGCCGTTACCTGAGAACCTGTAATGAAAAAAGTTTGTTAGACCTAGACACTTTTTCGCATGCGTCTCTCTCATTTTTTCCTAGCCAAAAACTGCCGCACGCAAGCATGATGCAAGAATCGTCCACATTTCTGCAGCGTTTATTTTCAGCAACTCTCCCTCCAACTTCTTATTATGTATGTGCAGCTGCTTGACGCATTTCCAATCTGCATCCATATATGTATGTCTTTCATTTATAAATGTATATCTATACATATGTAAAGGAACATAAGTATTTCTATACATAATTGAATACACAAAAACATACATACATATGTTTAACAACATTAACCGCCAAAAGCTAAATATGTGCACGTTTCTCCCTTTACTGTTTGGCTTCAATGTAAGAGACTTTGTTTTTACTTCTCTGCCAAAATTGAGTCGCAGTTCTCATTATAACAAAACTATTGGTGCCCCCCACAAGCTCTTCGCTCAACATAAAACTGCGTGACAATCACATCGATGTAAGTGCTTATCTATATATGGTTGTATGTATGTATGTATGTATGTTTTTATGTTTGTATGTATGTATGTATGTGTCTTTTGTTACACACTGACCTGTCGAGTGCTTTACTTGGCCTGAATTGTTAACTTGTCAGACACAGATAAAAAATACTAGTTTGTATTAGTCGATATGATGCATCAATATAAATATATATATAAATAAATATGCTTACATATGTATACATACATACGTATGTATGCGATGTGGAGTTATGTATGAATGACACGGAATTTGATAGACAATTCAGCTTATTCTTTTCAACAACCATTCGCCAGGGAATATGCTCAAGTTTCATGCCATTTAGAAATTGATCTCCATCAAATAGAAGTTGGCGTTTGCATTGACAATATAATATACATATGGCATACGATATACATATATAAAATGTTATGGCACATTTCCCAGTCTTAATGGGAGCTGCGAAATAGATGCACGCAGTTCTAATCTTCAAATAAATAGAATTTGTTTCAAGTTGTTCGCTAATTAATTTGTTATCAATATTATTAGCCTTATCAAAAAAACTTTATAATAATATGTTCCGGCTATGGAATTATCCGTTTGTCTATGTAGATTGAGAGGCTGTATGATTTTTTGGCGCACTGTCGCGTTCTTTTATAAACATTTAAGGAATATGCAATGTTAGTGGGCAGCATGAATGCTGGGTATCTTCTAGTCGAGTACTCTAAAGCTTTCTGTTTATCACATTAAATCAACTCTCTAAAGAGTTAATGAAGTGTTAACTCTACTTTATTGCATATTGATTTTTATTTACCTATTGCTATCCGGTCGAATTGGCAAGAACAGGTAACAATATTTGTAGTCTTAATATAAACAGTAACTAGCTGATTATAAATTGCATATAGCGCTAATTTGTTCAGCATGCAATTTTGTATACCCAAGTTAGAGGAGAAAAATGGATTTGTGTAAATGTGTAGAAGGAAGCACCTTTAACCCCTAAGTTGTATATTTGATCGAGAGACAGTCTAACCAATCCGAAATCCGAATCGATAAAACATTTGTATAAATAAAACATTAATAAAGAAGCAGTTAAATCGGTTAATACCCAGGTTAATTTACGGTTCAATCAGGACAAATATGTTTTAGTTGCGAGCACATGGTCTTGTTATTTCTTTTTATAGTCGAAATTCATATCTATGTATATATGTACATATATAGTATTTGTTTGTGAGCATTTAATGTAGTTATTAAAGTTAGTGGGGCTTTTGTGAAACACTTGAGCGTATTGTTATCAACGAAAACACATCAATTTTGTATAATATACGGAATGTATGTACGTATGGAGGAACCCATAGCTAAATCGCTTTTGTGGCGGAGATCGCTAGGCGCGTGTATGTCACATTTCAAACTGTGATAATTCAATTTTGCGGTGATCGTAATCCCAACGAACTTTTAGTGCCGACATACATGTGCTCTGTACGTATGTATGCATGTACCAATGAATGAACATACAGATCAACTGTACAGAAGAGATGCCATCGAAAAACGAATCGTAGCGCCTGCGTTTTTTAGTGGCCTGAGATTTTGATTGTCAACTATAATGTTATAGATGGCGGTTGTTGTTGGTCTGGTAATCTAATTGTAAGAGTCGCCAATGAGACACACGCATGCCACACAGCGGCGGCTGTGGCTTGACGTACATACGTGCATATTGACATACATACATACATACATACATGTGTACATCTGCATGCAAATATTTACTTGCTTGTGTGCACACAAACTGTGGGTTGTTTTTGTCGTTGATTAACTGTGGTTCCGACTTTTATTGTTTGGTTTTTGTGTTTCTGGTTTTTAGTTTTGCGCCCTAGTCATACCCAAAATATGATGGATTACTTCCATATGCAATTTCCATTAATACAATGTTTTTTACTTTCCGATTCTTAACACGGCTGTCAAAAGTTACATTTCGTCTTAACGCGGTTAGATCCCTGAACTTTATTGCTATCAACGCTTAGTTCACTGCGCCACTTCTTCGTTTCATTAGTCAAATATGTTGATTTTAGCACGCAGATCGGAATTACTGATGAATATATTCACTAGTATATATCCTTACGTAGATTATTATGCATTTAAGTTTTATTCCACTGTGCCCACATCCTTGTTAAATGGTGCTTGAGCAGTTGTTACACTTCTGCGAAACCGAACAGTCGGCGAGCGCGTATTTATCCCATGTGAACGCAAAGGTATGCAAATTTGTTCAGTCCGTTGGACAAACGTAACGCACGGTTAGAAAACCCGAATGGAACTGAAAGTGATTCTTGCCTAATGCACAATGACACGGACACTGCACTGAGAGAATAGAAAATATAAAAAGCTTTAATAAAATAAAACATCCAAAAATGAATCAACAAAATTTCAGGCAATTGTATAAAATTGTGTGGGTTGATTTGTGTGTGTGGTTGTTGTTATGATAGTATATGTGTGTGTGTGTGTGTGTGTCAGGAACTGTATATTTATATATACATACGACACTATACAACATATTACCACCTGTACATAATTACAGTTGTATGCAATGCACGTACTCATATGCAAAGTCTAAAGCTGCTCTCTAGTGTAACTAGCTGAGCAAGCCATATCGTCAGTTTTGTAGCTCCTCTCAGAGTTTGTGCACGCATGTCCGAAACCAGAGAGAAAAATTCATCCAAAAGGGTGCAGCTTGCAATTCGTTGGCATCTATTTAAATCGTGTGTGCAGCTAGATATACTTACGTATATACATGCGTTCAGTTATAATTTTGGCCTCATCATGTCTCTACACAATCGCTGCGGTTAAAACTTGAACAATGCAACATATAGCAATATTATTTGGGATTCTGTTTTTGCTACTTGCAGCCACATTTACATAAAATACATCTTTAAAGTTATTGTAAATTTAATAAGCATCGTATTTGTACCCTTAACAATATCTATTCGCCCAGAGGTGGAATTTTAAATATTTTCGCTGTGGTATCCTCCGAAACGGTCAACAATAAATTTTCCTGACATTTATATGCAAATTCATATATATGGTAGAGATGTCCAGTGAGTGTAAACTTAAGATCGCCTGTACGTGCATCAAAAGCATTCAGATTTCCCTGCGCGGTAGCCGTCAGCAAAGTGTGATCGTTCAGCCATTTAAGCCTGCAGTAAATTGGATCCATTATAGCATATACATATGGAGTATGTTGCTGTAGTATACTTACCGAAGTATTCCGTCATTCGGCACCGGGCTTTCACAAATCGTGCGTAGCGCATACTTGGAATAGTCCCAAATAGAGATCTGCCCGTCCAGCGAGCCGCAGGCCACTAGCTTTAGATCTGCCGAAGAAGGAGCGAAGGCAATGCATTCAATCCCGTGTTCGGACTGGACAACATTCACCGGTCCATTGTTAGTGCAGAAGAGTAGTTTGCCTAAGAATTGAATATATTTTGATTATGTTCAGAGTATATACAAATTAATAAGTTCACATTTACTCACCACCACCTTCGGCGCATAAATAAAACGGCGAGTCCGGTTCACAGGCGACGACAGCATGACTAATTTCCCCAAAAGCAAGAGGGTGTTGCTCGTTCACCTCCATGAGTACCTGACAGGTCTTTAGATCCCACAGCTTTACTATGCCGTTCGAGTAGGCTGTGAGCAGTTTTTTGCCGTCGCCGCTTAGCTCACCAGCTTCGCAGCGCGAGGAGTGTCCAGGTAGTATTTTGCACTCGCCGCTAGGAATACGCCATACATAGACCTCACCACTATCGCCACCGGCCAGCAGTACATTAGCAGCACGATGCCAGAACATCCAGGCCATGTCGAACATGGAGTACTCCCACACTTTGTTTAGAATGGGTCGGTCGTCGTTCTGTTCGTTCACTTTGAACACCAAAAGCTCGCCGGATATGTCGCCTGTGGCCAGGTAACTGCCATCGTGACTAAAATGCGTTTCAGTAACCGTGTCCTTATGCTCAGTTATCTCAAACAGCACCTCGCCGTTGTTGGTGTCCCACACATAGGCGCGGTCATCTTCGCTGCCAGTCACAGCCCAATTGAACTTCGGATGCAGATTGCAGCCAAAGACGGGTGCTGTGTGCTTGCGGAACGTGAACACGGCTTCATCTTTGATGGCAGCAATGCGTTCACGATCACGCACCTCCTCCTCTTCCTCTTCTTCATTGTCCATGGCATCGTCGGAATCGTTGTTCATGCCCAAGCGTGCTTCCAGCTGCGCCAACGTCACCTCCTCCATTTCCAGCTCGTCGATTTCATCGTCAAGCGGCGGATCGCCATCCAGTTCGATTTCCTCTAGGATTTCGTCATCTGCGTAATCGAAGTCGGGCCGGTGCGGAGGTGTATTCTGACGCATTGTGTGTTGTTTTAGTTTTTACGTTCTAAGCTTGTGAACTTTTCCACACAAGAGCTGTACAGCCATGCACACACATGCACGTGTTGGACCGCACAGCTGATTTTGTCGACAGGGCTGCCAACTTGTTCAAATTTTAAAACGGCAAAATGCGTTATAAGTTTGGCGGTTGTTTCGAAACGTTTTTTATGAACAATTTTAATATTATGAGTGTCATGAAGTTGAACAACTAAATAAACTAAAACTGGATAAGAATGTGCTATGCAAAAAACAACTATGCAACTTACACGAACATAAAAGATAAAGGGCTTTTATTAAATTTATGCAGATACAGATGGTTGAACATCTCACTCGCTCCGTCCACAAAATGTATTAGTATGCGTGTATGTAATTGAGGTTTTCTTCTTAATAATTTTTCGCTTCTTCTTTTCTGGTCATACACATTGACAAATTGTTTTTAAGAAACTTATATTGTTTATTGCTGATTTCTATCTGTCAAAAATATTTTAGGCATGAAAGAAAAGCTAAGTCGATAGCTTTATTCCACCTAGCTAACAGGCGACTAATATGCCAAGGCCCTTTTAAATTGACCAACACTAAATGAAAAACACTTGGACCGTCTAAAGCACGGCTAATAGCTAACTGTATAATTATTTGCTTTATTAGATCGAATATGCAATAATCGTTATTAAGGACTTCTTTTGTTTGCTTGTTTACGCTTTCTTAAGTATATTTTCAATGTTTGCAATCTAGCCTGTAATTCTTCAATGGAGGGTAATTCTCCAAAATCACATTCCACAAGGCATTTCTTATGCGCCGCTTCAGCATTAAATATTTTGTCATTGACCTCTTTCAGACGACTTTTCAAATCGGCGATTTTGTTTAACATGTCTTGTTCCTTGCCGTTTCTTTGCTCCCGCAAGTCGTTGAAGCCTGCTTCCAGGTCGTCTAATTTCTTAAATATGTCGGAACTATGAGCTGAGTTCCCAGTCGGACTGGAATTGGATGCATTTAACTTAAGCTCGAGCTCGTTAATACCTCTCTCGATATATTTTTTTATTTTCGCATCCAAAGAATCGGCTAGTTCGAGCTGCTCCGGCTGATCGTCAAACTTTGCTCTCAGTTTACCTTTAGCTGTGATTATATTTTGGGATTGGTCGTCTTCTGTTTTGCTGTGATTTCTTGCAATGGGCGTTAAATCTTGAACTTGCTTACCTATTAAACTTAGAAGCTTATGTTGCTCATTTTCCTTTGGTCTCTTAGACTCTGAGCCAATATTTGCCACATGTATTGAAAGTCTCTTAGCGAAATCGCCAAGTCTATCATAAAGTTCTTTTAGAGTGGCGTCTGCCCTTTGGGTATCGAATTTGAAGGTATATTTATTTGAATCGATGTCTAAGCTAAGTTTTTGCACGACCTTCAGTTTACCTACTATAACTAAGCAATCACTAAACAAATGTTCTTTGCTTAAATCAAATGCTTTCATCGAATTTTTGAAATTTTCAATTTCTTCAGCACGTCGTTTATTTTCCATCATTTGCTTGCTTAACGCTTTATTTAGCTTGTTCCTTATGATGTCCAGAGTTTTATTCCCGCTGTCGACAATTCCATAAGAATTCTGAATTTCTGGCGCCTTGGCATTCAAGTTCTTTGCATTTTGCTGGACATTCTGATCCAATTGGCTCAACTTCGAGTTAATTAGTGAACTTTGATTATCAGCTCTCTGCTTTTCCATCCGCATTTCAGTACACAATGAAATCAAGCTATCAGCTTCTGTTTGCTCGTCGTTGCTAAGCATTTGCGTGTTTTGAATAGTATTAGATAAGTTTTCAGCAGTTTGTTGTAGTTGCTTACTTGAATGATTCGTGAAATCATATAATTGCATATCATCCATTAGCGGCAAACTGATATTATAAGTATTTTTATTATTATTATTGTTACTCATGCAGCAATGCGCCTTTAAAGTCCTGCTAGACGGATCTTTTTCAAACAGTGCTTCCGTTATGAGCAGGCGGTCTTCTTGGCGGTTAATTGTTTGGGCCAAGCTAATTTGAGACTCAGTCAGTGGATTGTAAATGGAACTGATTGGTGCGTAGCTTTGAATGGAATCTTTTTTTAATTGAAATCTAGACTGAAAGCCTTTCACTTCTTGCTCCCAATTGATGCAGCAGTTGCCGCCAGAGTTGTTGCCTTTGATGGTTTTTTGATTCAGGTATTCCAGTCTTATCATCAAATTACGAACGTCCAACAGGGCGTAACCAGTTGATTTTGCCCGTGCATATACACCCAAGGCCTTCAGCTGCATTATGGCGTCCACGTTATCATTGATAACCTCAAGTCGGTCTCGAAGTATGGCATAGGGACAACAGTTGCGGTTGATGTGCAAATCCAGTTTTGATAAAATATTTGGTAGCATTTTGATCAAATTACCCAGCCGGTCTTCCATTTGCATCTGTTCGTTTATCCAAATGCCGATTTCCTGGCGCTCATCACAGCTCTTTTTCGGGTCAACTGGTTTTTCCGTGGTCGTAAGTGCCGTGCTTGTCTCGATTGTGGATGGAGCTCTCGTGGTTGTTTGCTCATCGAGGATTTTTGTTCTATTGCAGATGACCACTTTGCGAATTTTGAAAATATTCCATAGGTTTATTTTAATTGCCCTGCCATTATCGAATTCCTCTTTAATTGTAAAAATGTTCGTAGATAGGAGCTGTTCATCAACTTCGCTTTGCCAACGACGCACGTTTTTCCAGAACGTTTTATTCTCTGCATAGTTGAGATTTTTTGGAATGCATCTGCTTTTCTTAAATTCCTCGTACATTGCGTTACTGACTCTTGTCGGAGACGCGTTTAACTCATCTTCATAATCAGGCGGAGCATCAATAACAGCAAAACAAACCATTATTATTTTAATACAATATTCATGTTTCTGCATTCGGGTCATCGTTCGCCCCATTTTGAAGTCGCCTTCTATATAATCATCGGATGTTTTGATGAGTTGATTTGTCAATGTTAAGATAACAACTACAACAAACTGAAATGTTTTCATCTATAATTAAATTTCACACAATAAAGCTAAATTGTTATTATGGCACTCATTTCATATGATTCAGCTTTAGTTACCATTTGTGGCCTCTAATTTTTGATATACAACTGCAATTGCTTACTTCGCACTGCGCACTTTTCGCAGTTGGCCCGATTGTTCATTGTTCGCTTTTTTAAAATTGATTACACCAGAAATAATTAATTATTAACCTCTATAATTATCACCAAATGCATCATATTGATGTACAGTGAGAAAACCGAACAAACTAGCCAATAAATAATTATATTTAGGAAGAATAAGGGCAGTCCTCCTTCTCTTGATAATTCGAGGGAGATCTTGAGTAGGTTACCTGGACAACATTGGTGTCTAGATACGGAACTGTGTTTATTGCCAAAGCATCTTAACACTGTGCTGGAATATATATTCCAAGTTCTGACTCTGTAAATTCAATATCAAGTGCATCAAATGCATTCATGCGAGTAGACGAAGAGGCGAACGACGAAGCAAAACCAATAAATTCTGTTCAAAGATAAATGTTATATTTTCGGCACGCCGAAGACTAAACACCCTTGCAGATAAAGTGCATGGAAATGTTTCCAAACAAAAATTGTATTGTGAACTTCACTTTTTTTAGCTATGTGCTTTATATATATGAATAGCTATATCTAGATAGGAGTATAAAGCGGGCGGACATGGTGTATCAGGAAGGTCTCTCTCTTCTATGCGTTACACACGAACTGATAAAAATTGAATAGCCCAAGCAAGAGTAGAGTGACTGCAGCCAGCAATAGAAAGGAAAAGGCGATAAACACAATCGTGGGTCAAGGGTCTTATGATAAGAGCAGCACGCATAAACATACATACATAGCTTCTATGTATATCATATGTACATACCTATACACATGCATGTTAGTAGGTAGCCACGATTTGGCTCGACTTGTGCCGGGCTGCTGCTCATATGGGTTCATTCTTCTGTATATGTATGTATGCATCTGTGGCTGTACATATGTATGTGTGCAGTAGTTTCAGATAAGAATACCCGTTTAATATATTTATGTACATACATTATGTATTAGTTTGTTTTGTATACTTCCTATCTGCTTTTATGGTGCATAGAAGGGGCAGGTCGGTCACTGCCGTCGCGGTCTGCATATAAATTGTGAGCATTTGTGGCGAGGCAGTCAGTTCTGAGCGACAACCTTCAACGGCAGCATGGCTGCGGGCACGCTCCCAAAAGCACATTTAAGGGGAAGCATTGGAAATGATGCCATGGCTATTGGATGCGCTCTGAACGGTGAAGGACATCCCCGAGGCCTAGCAGTAGGGATGGAGCTTTAAGGCGCTTTGAGCGCAGTCCATCAGAATTTGGTTGGTGATCAGCTTTAACATAGTTAGCTGTCAGCATGCAGAATATTCGGCAGATGACAGCAGCTTACAAAAGGACCGTGAATGGGATCAGTGCAATTTAGCTGTAAGGACACATGTGCAAAGGCCTTACATCGACAACTCTTATACGATGTAACGACCACCTATTGTTATTTTAGTTTTAGCAGATTTATTGTTGTTTTTGTTTTAAGATATAGCGTATTACTTTGACCGGGGTAAATAGAATTACCAAGTCAAGTAACAACATCTTCCAAGTCTTCCATTAAGTGTAAATAAAAATAAATGTAGAGTACAAATTATTTGTACATTGAAAAGTAACTCTTCTTATATGCTTGAGATTTTCAATGTATTGAAGAACTTCTTTAGCCTCTTATGCTATTTAGTTGTATCGAATTTTGTTATTTCAAAATTCTTTGAAAATATAATTTACCCAGTCTTGCCTGGTTAAACCAAGCGACAAATGTGCAGATTTCAAATTCATTTTTATAAGGATACTTTCATAACGAACTGAAACCTAAAATCACATCCACAAAGTCTCTGACCTTATTTTCACCTTTGGTGATTCTGATTCTGGTGAATCGCAATCATGGATGCGGCAAACTTTCATGTCGATAAAAATCTATATTTGTTTTTGGCAAGTTTACCAAGCTAGAAAGTGAAATATAAAGAAGAATCCAAAAAGTAAAAGATCTCTGGCATATGCTTAAAATTTGTTTTATTTCATTTGACTTTTCTTTACAAACATATCGTTGCCCCGCCCTGTTGTAATTCTATACTTTTACCAAAGGTAAAAGAACGAATCGTTGAACTGTGCTAATATTAATGTATTGCTAGCGCCTTAAACATTTTAAACAATCATTTATAATGCAAAGCCAATACATTAGTTTCAGGGATATACTTGCGCAGTGTACCGTCTGCCCCACTGATGAGCTCAAAGTCGAAGTGCGAACCTCATTCGAACTTTGATTCGAAGACCACAGGCCTAGCTACCCAATCTACTGAAGCCATACCCAGACTTGAAGAATTTAGAACCCATATTTGCTGATGCGTGTCCTTCATGCTTGTGCCCAGCGATCATGGAAGTTCCACTCGATGTCATAGGGCTTCGCCGACTTGGGCTGCAGGGAGGTCCAGAAGAATGTGCCGCCATTGGTGCGGGCAAAGTGTACGGGCACATAGTACTCTCCTTGATCAAACGTTTGTAGTTCGCCGGATCCGTCTTCGTTGTAGACAATGATCGCCTCCTCTTTGGCGCACTGCCTGATCTCCTCGATGAGCCGATTTTCGAGGTGCTCGTTTGACATATTATCCATATCGTTGTTTAGCCAGTCGAACTCAGATTCCTTCTCATCTGAAGCAATGTAGGAGCTTCGCTTTGGCTGCTTTGCCTTCAGCTTGAAAAAGTGTCCAAGCAGCGGCTTAAGAATATTTGTAAGGCGACGAGTTGGTGACACTTTCGACTTGTAGGAGTACATCGTGAACTTCTTCTTGTTATTGCTGATGAACTGTTTGTTATTTTTAGCTGATATCTTCGACATTTTGCTTGTTGAATTTTGAGTAAATATTGAGTGCTGACGGTGCGGAGGTCAAACTGTATCTGATGCTCTCTCTAACGTGCCTACCCTATTTATACACTCCCTCAACGCTGACTGAGAAACTGTCTGTGAGAGTTGCTGCAGCATCTCAGCCAATCACAGATGCCGAAACCTGGCAGGTGGTGGATTCCAAATTTCTCACGTTTAAGGAGTCTTGTGAGATGCACAACACTAGCAGGTTGGTGTCCTGTCAGACAGCTAGCTCCGAATCAAATGCTGCCTGAAGCGTGGGAAACCCATGCCCTTGCCTTTCGTGGCAATTATCCTGGCAGCACCTTCGACGTGGGAACCAAACCTTTCAACTTTTCTGTTCAAATCAATAATTAGATACTTTTTGCTTTACTATTTTCAGCAATGTCATGTTTTCTCATTTTTGGTAACGAGAATTTAGATTCCTTTAAGTGCGTTTCCAATAATTATTGGTATGCAATAATTATAATTGTTACGGTTTTTGATTAAGGCTGCAAACCAGTTTTGAGCCCCGAGCTCCTATTTCTTATTTATCACGAACTAAACCATAAAACAAGGGTTAGCCGAATCTAAGCTAGAATCAGAAGACCTCTCACGACTTTGATATTGCGCTCAGAATAGTTTGAGTTCCTATTTAAAATAGAAAAAAAATATGTTAATACCAGCATATCGGTCGGTCAAATCTTTCATTCTAAATTTAAAATTTGTTTCTTAAAAAAAAAAAAATAAGTCAAACTAAATTAACATTTACAAAAATTAATAACTGTTACTGAATTTGAGCCGGCGATTGCTTGCTTGTTAGTCCGACGCTCAGACACTAAAGCCACACAGTTTTCAGCTTCTTAGCTGTTGCGTAATTCAGTCAGGTCAGAATCTTCTGTAGACTTATATAGATCAATAAATCAAGTTTATATTATGTATGTGTTAAGTTCTTTTTACAAATGTGGCGAGTCAAGTGTGCAATTTGTGTCGTGGGCCCTCCTGTTTCGATAATACTATCCATAGACTTGTTAATACAGTAGTTTATGAGTTCTGAGATTGTTTTCTTTTGCGCAGAACATAAATAAGTTTGCCTCAGGATAATGTTAGTTTTTATGATCATCAAAAATAAGTAATTAATAAGCAACATGATTAAGTGAAAAAAAGGGTTTCAATGTAATATTAGACCAGTCGATCTTAGTACGCACATTAGGGCTTTGCTTATAGGCATATTTATGATCCCTACCTGCTTCAATGAAACATGAGATTTTCGTGCACAGCTCAAGAGCGATCAAAGAAAACAAAAATAAAGAAGCACTGACAGCGACATGTTTGTGAGTGAGAACAGGTTTTGAACCCAAGGGCTGAGGAACAGGTAGTCGCAGCATTGGCTCTATTTGTTATTCTGATATGGAATGTTCGGGTTGTTTTAATATTCTCAAAGTGGTGAAATGGGTATATTGGTTTTGTGCAACTGTATGTAACAGAAAGCATTTGATACGTGCATGCTGATACGTGCTGCCCATCTTTTATATACGACATAGCATCGCGAGATTTTGACGTTTCAAAACGGCTTAATATTGTGCGTGTGTAAAACACAACAAAAAACGGTAAAAATCTAAATTTTGACCCAAATCAACAAAAAAGCAAGGGGTTACATCACATAATCGGAGTTGTTTACCGAAAAACGCTTCGTTTGTAAAGTCAATCATATTTAAAGAATTTTTATTATATCTCGGCCAAATAATGTCCGATTTTGGAATGATAAACCATTTTGGACTCGTAAGGATCACTACTATCGATTGGTATTAGAAAAATGAAAATCTAATTCAACCCGTTTGATTTTTAATTTGATTAAATGGCATTCGTAGGAGTATATCATTCCATATTTCCTCAATTTAACCGAGATAATAAAACTAAACTAGTTAAAACAATGTCCGCGCGGACATATGTACTTGAGTACTTTTCTAACGTCATATGTCCGCCCAGCCCAAAAAATCAAAATTTTAGTATTCTGCCTATTTGCAACGCTTTCGCGAAATCTTCAATGTATATCTTTTTAAAATGGCACGTATTTAAATAAACAAGTTTTTCATTTTATATATTTCAGCCCAATCTGCGCCGCCCATTGACAGCATGTAATCAGTAAATGATCGCTATTTATGGTACCTAGTTGACCGATATATCCTTGGTTATTCCATATCATCGATATAGTCCTAGCGAACCTAAAGGACCGAGCTCTCGCAAAATACGCAAAACTTGGTCGAAAAATATGTATGCTTTTTTTTTTACAGCAGCCCGCCCCCTGGATGGTTTCTAGTTGACTAACATATTCTTGGTTATACCATACCATCGATATAGTCCTTGGGAACCTAAAGGATCAGATCCCTGCAAAATTTGCAATGAAATGGTCCAAAAACATGTATGATTTTTCTTTCAGGAGCCCTTTTACATTAGCTGCAACTGCAGCTGTTGTTTAACAGCCGCCTTACAGCACTCATTTTACATAGACTGCTAATGAACAGCACTCATTTTAATTGAGTTACATTTTTGCCCCTTAATGCTATGCAATGAAAATTTTTATTCAAACCATTCGTCGACCTTCTGGGCATTTCTGTTCGCCTGGTATTTGAGTGGAATTTTAGGGCAAATTTGGGGTGTAGCCGCCGACCAGGGCGCCCCGTGAGGGTATGCAATGAATTTTTTTCGGGCGCAAAAATTTTGTGCGTCGATCTTCTGGGCATTTCTGTTCGCCTGGTATTTCTGGGAAATTTTAGTTAAAATTTGGGACCCAGCCGCCGACGAGGGCGCCCCTTTGGGTATGCAATGAAATTTTTTCGGCAGCTAAAAATATTTCTTGTCGACGTTCCAAAACGACATAACTCCACGCGGAGATACGACGTTCCAAAACGAGATAACTTCGCGAGGAGATATGACGTTCCAAAACGACATAACTCCGCGCGGAGATATGACGTTCCAAAACGACATAACTTCGCGCGGAGATATGACGTTCCAAAACGACATAACTTCGCGCGGAGATATGACGTTTTGGAACGACATAACTTCGCGCGGAGCTATGACGTTCCAAAACGACATAACTTCGCGCGGAGATATGACGTTCCAAAACGACATAGCTTCGCGCGGAGATATGACGTTCCAAAACGACATAACTTCGCGCGGAGATATGACGTTCCAAAACGACATAACTACACGCGGAGATATGACGTTCCAAAACGACATAACTTCGCGCGGAGATATGACGTTCCAAAACGACATAACTTCGCGCGGAGATATGACGTTCCAAAACGACATAACTTCGCGCGGAGATATGACGTTCCAAAACGACATAACTTCGCGCGGAGATATGACGTTCCAAAACGACATAACTTCGCGCGGAGATATGACGTTCCAAAACGACATAACTCCACGCGGAGATATGACGTTCCAAAACGACATAACTTCGCGCGGAGATATGACGTTCCAAAACGAACAGTCGACCCTGGCGGGTATGCAATGGATTTCTAAAAACCGTTGATTTTTTAATTTTTAAATAAAAAACACGAATTCTCTCTTTTATTTTAAATTATTTATTTATTTATGTTTCACATAATAAAATTTCTTAATTATGTTTCTTAAAATTACACAAATCGAGCATAATTTATAATTTTAGCTTATTGAAACTTAAAATAACTATATCTGGCTTAATTAAAGTCCGATCCAGGAAAAATTTGATTTGTCAGTCGTGAACGTCCTTAGAGATCCTTGTAGTCCTTAATTTGGCATTCTGAAATGATAAAAACACATTTTAATTAAAAATATAAATAAATATATAAAAGTCGAAAAAAGGACATAACTCGCGCATGTCCTTGCAGATTTTCAAAGGACATGGTGCGTTAGGTTCCTATAGACCCCCTGCATCGATCTGCATCATAAAAATAAGGGGTCATCTAAGAATCATATGACTCGAAATTGGACTTGTAAAATTTCTGTCCCGGATCGTACGGAAATGGCCCGAAAACAGAAATCCTTAAATATCTCCAAAACTACAAGGACGATCTTAACGAAATTTGGCCAGTTTGTAGTACTGGTCACCAGAATTAATTTGACATATGACTTGTCAGGACACACAAGGATATGCTCGAGCTATGGCTTATTTTCTTTAAACAAAATTGTCCTTAAAACTTTTTTGTCTGAAGGACTTTCGTCCTTTGGGTTGTAAATTCTTCAATGGGAGGCTGAGGACTATCAACTGTCCAAAGGACTTTCCAAAAGTCCTTCAAATGGCAAATTTAGCCTGGAAATTTTCGATTTTGGCCAATTTTGCGACTAACCCCCTAGGATAAATTTTGATGAAATTTTGCAAATCTTTGAATGCCAATCGATAGTCTTGCTCTCTACGAGCTCAATGCGATATATCCTTTCGATATCCTTAAGGATTTGACCGAGTTATGGATAAATAAAAAATGTCCTTTTTCGAAAATAGGCCATATCTCGGAAACGGCAAGGACGATTTTGTTGTCCTTTGGACCGTTTATGGTCCTTGTTCATACGATGGGTTTGGAACAGGACTTGCCAGGATCCGAAGGGATACGGCCGAGTTTTGGCTTTGTTAATTTACGAACGAATTTTACTCAAATGTACGCTGTCTAAAGGACTTTTGTCCTTTTCAATATATATACTGAATTGGCCGGATAAGGACTAACGGTTGCCAAATGGACATCATGATCGACAAGGATATGGCCGACCTACAGCCTTTTAACTCTACAGACAAAAATCTCCTTCTCTTAGCTTCTTCAAGGACTTTCGTCCTTTATATTTCATATTCTAAGTAAGCAGAACAAGGACTAAATGTTGACCAAAGGACATCAGATTGGTCCTCCCTATATTTCCAGAAAATAATTCGACATCCGCTTAAGTAAGTCTAAGAATATTTAATTATAATACATAAAGCTTTCAAATGTTATAAAATTAAAAGGAGTGGGTTTTGTGTGCGAGTTTTTTTAAAAGGTTAAGTTTTGTTGATTCCTTGATGTCATATCCTAAGCCACGTTGCAGGGCTTGATG